ATTATTAACTTTTATCTAAGGCAGGTCCTGTTTAGATCACAGATCTCTATTTAAAGAAGCACAAACATACATGTGAACAAGGACAACATGCAAACTCCACACAGAAAGACCCCAGGTCAAAACCAGGGATTCAGTCCAGGACCTTCTTGCTGTGTGACAAGAAAGTTAACCACTAATCCACCATGTTGCCCCATACAATCCAATTGAGTCAGTCCCATTCAAGATGGCTGCCACAACTAATCAATATAAAAAATGGCTACAAGTCAAACAATGTTACAAATAGAGCTAAATTGTGTGTGGTTGTTGCTGAGAGTCATCCTCACCACAAACTGAGAGCACAGAGTGTGACATCTTCCATTAAAAATATTGCATTGACTCTTAGTGTCAACACTGTTTACAAAATATGTCACAAACTCACTTTTGAAGTATTTATGAAGTATTCAGTGTACTTCATTAAACTCTGAAGTAAACCCAATTCAAGATGGCTGCCACTGCTAATCAACCTTTACCAACACAAAAACAGCTTGGTCGAACATAAAGATATTGAGGTAAAGTGTATATGGTAGTAGCTGAGAGTCTTGCAGATGGCTGAGGCGGCCATCTTGAATTAAAACTGTCACAAATGGTGAAAAGCCAAATTAATCCCCTCATTGAGTGTTCAGCCTGTAATCATGTGTGTCTTGATCCAGGAATAATGTTGGGAKGAATGGGCCCCAATGGAAGTGCGTTGGTCAACTTCTGCCAGAGCTTGAATGAAGCCGTTCTGAAGATTGTTGCCATCGTCATCTGGTAAGAGTCATAAACTGCACAGAAATATAATAACATAGAGTTAATTAAAACAATGAATATTTTGTTTATCATGCCTGATAATGACACAATATCTCCATGCTGTTTCAATAAGCTTTTGGTATAAAATGTCAACTTTATTTTTGCCAAAAATTGCAATTTTGGTTTTTGAGAGGCAGTTTGCAAATGAAAGAACCAAAAACCACTTCTTCAGATTATTTCAAACATTTTCATAAAAGGTCAGCTCTACTTTTTTCCTAAATCATAAAATGTTTCACGTTCCCTCAATAACGATTTCAGTTTTAATAACTTAAATTTCTTAAACATCCTTCTGAAATGGTTGTGTATTAAATGAAAAGCTACATGACATCAGATAGTTATTATGTTTGATCTTCTAAGTGAAACTTAAAGATCAGTGTGATACTTCTGAATGAAAGGCTTTTAGCTTTCTGCTGAGGTAAATCCAGGTGATACTGCATCCTTGGGTTGTGTATAAGTTATAGTTTCTTTGAAAACAGRAAAAATATTAAATCCCACAAGCAGAGATGAAGAGACTTTTACAAAAACATCCTTAATCTTTTTATCATTTTCTTCTAAAGAACCAGACTTTCTTCTGATCTTTTAAAGTGATTTTAATGAATAACTCTCCAGGTTTTCTCAAAGGATTTATTATTTCACACATTCTCTGTTCGATCCACATGYCTGACCATTTTGTGCCATGTGTGCTCAAAATGTGGCAATGAATAAACAAAATAAAACAAAGAATTAAAGTATTAAGTCTTTGAGAATCACCTTGTTGCTGCTGAAATACTTTGTTGTGTATTACACCACCACTTAGCTTAGATTTGGGATCCTGATAGGTTTAAAATATACCGGGATATGTTTGGAGAAAATCCTTTTATTTCAGAGACTCCAGCRACAAATGGGATGACAATGTTCCTGCATTTGTTCCCTCTGTCCTGGATTGTGTTTTTCTTGCTGATTTGACAAAATCCCAGTAAGGATATCCACATGTTGTGAGCTCTTTTCCTCCTGTCCTTGTGAGACACTTTTGGCCCAATGGTGGAAAGTTCTGACGACAGAAAGTTTGTGGGAGGCGAGAGTCAAACAGAATGTTCTGATCTGGTTTTCTGTAACTTTCAGTCTTCCATCTTGACCAAACAGTCCAGAGAAGGCAGATTGTTGTTGTTTACATTTTCTCTGTAAARTTGTTGTTGTTGACTGATTCTACTTTCTTAGCTTTGGATTTTGACCCAGGTGTCAAATGGCTTGGTGTTGTTCCTTTGATCTAATGGTACAACCAGGCTTCTGTCTGAAAACACTGCCATTATAT